AACCCCCCCCCCAACAAACAGCAAAAAGAATCCTGAGAGAGAAAATACTCTGTGACTTAGGATAACAGTTTATGATGGTCAGCTGAGACCAGGACATGAGTTGACATGAGCAGACAAAATTGTCAGTCAGACAACTTTACACAATTGCATGGGATAATTTTCTACCCAAAAAAGAGTTTCACACTATTTGAGAGTCGATGATGATACAGATCAGCAAACTGTTATAATCCACTATGACTGCGATAATTTACAGCTTCCCCAATCCGACTACTTTTGATACGAGAACAAAATTCAATAAAAATAAAACAACAATAAATCTGGTAACTAAACAAGACTGAGGAAGACGAGAAATCAACGCATACAGAACCCCACTGTGTTCATATTGCCAGAACTTTTTTTTTCTTACAGTGACATAATAATAATATATTTATAGAAAATATAATGGTGCCTCTTTTCTCAGAGACAGCACCATAAACCAAAGATGAGCTCACTTAATAAAATGTACAACCCTGACACAGTCCTCTCAGTCACTCACAGAAACACACAAAAGTAGAATTTTTCCAAACAGAACAGCGACCAAATTATCTCCCTCCACCAGCACATGGTCTGAAAACCTCGGCAGGAGGCAAAACCAGAACAGAAAAAGAAAACAACTAGTAGACTGAACACCAGTCCATCTCTCTGTCTTGGTAGACCTATACCCTCCCTACCTTTACAAACCCTCAAAAACAGTTGAAGGAAAGAAAAACTGAATGATGAGACACACTGCTCACTGCTAGGTATCTCTCTGACAACACCTGTACTTAATAAACAAAAAACAAACAAACAAAAAAACAAGGGCAGAATCCCCCCCCCACTCACCAAACAAAAAACCCACCAACCCAAAACAATACGAACACAGAACCCCCCTACACCCCACCCCCCCCAAAAAAAACAACAAACAAACAAAAAAACCCAACCACCCAAAGTCTTGACAAAACAATCCCTCCTCCCCCCCATGGCATGTCTCAACCTCTCTCCCTCTCCCAACAGTCCTCCTCCTCCGCATGGATATATCCCCATCAGTTCCCCAGCTGCTGACCTTGACCCCACTGGTGACCCCTCCAGCCCCCGCCGCCACCATCAGCATCATCGGGTCGTCGTCTGGAAGCCGGGGCTTGACCGAATCCTCCCATGCCTCCAGTGCGCTTCGGGAAGTATTTGTACCTGCAGAGACAAAAAAAAACACACTCCTTTATATCTACGCAGTTTGGAGAAAGTTTCAAATACAGCAGCACCTGTCCAAGGTGACCACCCATTGTCCTGGAAAAAAGCGGTCATGTCAAACAGGTGCTCCTGTCAGTACAATATCAAC